GCTACGATTCAGAAGACAGCCGTCTCCTGTTGTAGAAAAGTTCCTACAAAACTCTATTGGAGAGATATCTTCAGATAAGTGTGCAAATTGTGTTTGTCATGTAGAAGAAAAAGAAGAACCGCGATTCTAGGGACATTGATTACAGAGTGAAAAACATAAAAGCAGTGATTGTCACTGTTGCAGACGATTCTACTGCGGACAATGACAGAGGACGAAAACTGGGCCACGTTCAGTGATAACATCTGATTGTTTTACTCTTTATTCACAGGAATTTGAGCTTTAGCCGAAATTATAATTTTAAGTAGAAGTTAGCACTATGTATGTGAAGGAAGCTATTAAAATGATACTTCATTTAATACAACGTGAATAACGATATATACGGAATTGTCGACACGTTGCTTCTTGCATTGCATGCGTTCCGTAAAACCCGAATGAAGGAAGCTTTTGAGTTCGCTTTGCTCTCTCGCTGCTTTACCCTCGCGGAAAGAACCCGCACTTTCTAGTAGGGAGGAAAGAAGTTGTGTGAACTCCAGAGCCGGTCTAGGTGTGGTGGCGAAAATAAAAATCCTTGCCTTTTCCGGGAATCGAAGCCCCGTCTTCAGGTCCGTACTGAATAACTGTTTGTTATTGAATCTCAGTTTTGGGAATTTCACAAATGCATATTAGCATTTCAATGAAAATTTTGCATAACATAAAACGTCTTTATCGATAACAAAAGATGATGGCCGATCCAAGAAGTAGTCGATAGATTTAGATATCCATGCTCATTGGCAACATTGGCGAAAAGAAACTGTATTAATACCTGTTACGCCTTTCATTGTCCAGATCAAGCGACTAGACTCGTGTTTTCAGAATGTCTCTGCGTACTTTGTTTTGGATTTATGCAGCCATCCGCACCTAACGTCAATACACACGAGATCTTGCATTATATGTCGTAAAGCTTTGTGTGTGTGTATTTTCATAAATTGCGTTCATAGGACCATAATTCCACACACCTCATTTATAAATTTTGTAATAATCGTTATATTTCACAAAAAAATTAACAGCGGATTAACATTTTAGAAACAATTAGTGAATCTCAGTGGTCGGAAATACAAGTGAAACATTACGTTAATCTCGAAAAAATGCCGCAGGTATCAAACATGAGGATATATATATATTTTACATGAGCGTCTTTCGAATGATGTATGATGTTCCTAGAATGGCGGTTTTCTGAAGTTTACTAATGTCATGTTCGCCCGGGATGTTGGCCGAATATTTTTTGAGTCGTTGTTGTTATTAAGCGTGAAAAAACTCATTTGAATTCAAAATGTCGCGTCACACCGGTTTTGCGCGATGAGTCATGTTGCGCGGGGTTTCCTGTGCTCCCCCCACCCGCCATGTTGCCATATTCATGTTAACCAGTGTGCTACTCACTGGAAGACGCTGTTGTAATTAAAGTGTTGTATCTGTCGTGCTTGTGTTTTCGTAGCTCAACATACAGCAATCCTCAGCCCACTTATACGATGGCCGGCCCGGGACAAGCCGGCCCCCAGCTCTTGATGCTTCAACAGCAGCACCAGCAGCTCCTGCTAACTCACGGGCAGCCACCCCAGGGACAGCTGCAAGCACCATATGGTCGCTCCCCTCAAGGTAACAGCCCTCCGACAGGTCAAGAGAACACTACCACCAGTGAAGACAGTGACGACAGCACACCGCACTCCGCCATGGTGAGCTTCTTAACTCTCTACTGCCCAGTATTAACTGTATATATCACCTACTTTAGCAGTTACTAACCCTGCATTTTATTTACTTAGTATGTTTGTGGGTTTCATATGATTTTCATTGTAAACAGTGACTATTTTCCGAAATACCAATAACCGATTGGTATTTGTACTGTACAAGTGTTGTTTCTTGACAATAAGAACTGAATTTTTAATTATTATTTAGACTAGCAGAATGTCCACAGTGTTACTGCGGGAAAATTGAACAAATTCTTACATTTTGTCTGAATTTTGCCTGATCATTCGATACTTATCTTTGAATATCACAGAAAACAATTATTAATGTAAAAGTAAAGCTGTCCCACTTTCGGT